ACAGCCAAATGTAATGAAATCATAACAACAATAAGAAAACAAAAACAGAGAGTCATTTTTACAGTATATTTCTGATCAAAAACAAGCAGTTTCAAAGGAGGAGAATTCAATCTTTCCCTCTGGAAAATGTGCAGAAGAGCAGTCTCCAGGTGGGTCTAGGACAGGGGTGTCAAACTCACGTCATCACAGCGGCATCACGTGACACACCAGGACTTTTTTCCCCTTTGCTAAACTGGGCAGGGCTAGCATGTGATGCATGTGGCCCACAGGCCGCGAGTTTGACACCCCTGGTGTATGACGTTTATGCCCACTTTGGCCCCAGCCATCCACCTCAGGTGATTCACAGCCAGCTTTCCTTCTCTGATGGCCCTCCCCCAGCAATTCTCCATGGCCAATAGGACCCTGGCTCTCTGCCCCTAGCCCTTTGCCCTGGCACATTCCCCCAGGCACCATTTGACCTGGGCCTTTTGCTTCATTGGACAAGAAGCCACCAGCCAATCAGCAGCAGATGGCAACAAGTAATTGGCAGCAGACTATGGGAGAGCCACTTGGTGGCCGTGGGGGAGGACTAGAACAATGCCAGGCAACTGGCGCTGATGGATTGCAGACACAATTGCCGGGGCCGTGGGTGGGCATCACACAACTGGCAACAGTGGTGACATGCAAAAGCAATTTTGGGGGCCATAGTGGAGCACATCGGGCAACTTGCTGTGGCATGCAGTTGTGATTGCAGAAGTTTTAGATTCAGCTAAGGGGAGGAGAGATCAGATGCTGGTGGGACCTCAAGTTGATCACAGAGAAAGATACTTTGACAGATCTGGGGAAGCAGCATCAAGGTGATTTTTAACTGCAAGTGCTTCAGTAGGCACAAAGTGCAGAAGAAATTGTGTGGGTTTTAGATTCAGTTCTAGCTTTGTCTTCTGGAGACAAAGTTAGGAGAGCTTTCCTATCATTAAAATGGGACAAGCCATTGCTGCTGCATTTGGGAAGCCATGTGGCTTCCGTGTTGCTGAGGGAGAGCAAAGCCTGAGTCAGGTAGGTCTGGCTTCAGCCTAATTTGCTACCCAGGGGCTCTCTAAATCACAGCAAAGTTACCATTGCCAGTTGCCAGATGTGCCACCTAGCCCTCACAATTACCTCTGCGCACTGCCACGAGTTGCCTGGTGCGCCCCCCCCATGGCCCCCACAATCGCTTTTACATGCCACCACCACCATCCTTTACCCAGCATGCCCCCCCACAGTCCCTGTGAAAGCTTCTACATGCCATCGCCAGTTGCCTGGCATATCATCCATAGTCCCTGCGATTGGAACTGCACATCGATACTGCTGCCCTTGCAATTACGTCTCCATCCTGCCACCTTCACCAGTTGTTTGGTGCCCCACCACGGCTCCCAGGATCCCTTCTGCATGCTGCTGCTGCCACCAGTCCTCTTCTGTGAAGTTTTAGGATGAGCCCAATGAGAACTCCGCTCGCCTGGCCTCCCGATGTCGAGGCGAGGCTGGGCATCACGTATCAAGGCAAGAGGCCAAGGCAGGTGAGGAGAGTGGATGGCCAAGGCTCGGGCAGGTGAGAAAAGGAGTGGCTGGGAGGGGAGGGGCAACCGGCAAGGGAGCCCAGCCAGTGGTGGGATCAGCCAGTTCGCTGAACTCTACAAAAAGTTAGCTACTGGTTCTATTGAACCAGTGCAAACCAGCTGAGTCCCACTACTGATCAAAAGCCACCAGAAGTTTAAGAACAGAGAGGATAGATGCACTACCCCCATCTGCCTCTTACCAGAGATCATCAACTAGTGCAACCAATACCATTTCTGTCCCATAACTGGGCCTTAAATTTTACCGAAAGGAATCTAGTCTCCATTTCATCCAGGATCTTCTGGAGCTGTAGTGCAACCACCGTGAAGCACAACTGGATGAAAATTGTTCATTAAGTTTGGATCTAATGATAGCTTCTTAAAGAGGGATGAACCATGACCTCCTTAAAGGATTTTGGGAAACCTTCCTCCTTCAGTAATTACTGAATGCACCTACCCAGAAGTCACTGTCCTGGAAGTTTCAATAACCAGTAGTGACAAGGATCTAATAAGCAAGTGATTGTGCTGGCAGCCCTGAGGATCCTGTCCTTTTCTCCAGGTTTAACAGGATTATACTGTTCCAAAATAATATGGCCAGTCTGTTCCCAGGGCATCTCTAATGGATTTGCATTATGCTTGAGCTCCAATTTAGAGTGAATCTGAGAAATTCAGATTGTACAGGTTCAGGTGTTGTACAAACTCCTCCATGCATCCCTGAAGATGATCATCCAAGTCCTCCTTCCTGAGGAAGGGACATTGAACATGACCATTGGGTGTGACCCTCTGGGAATGTACCAAATCTAGAGAAATACTGATGTTTCATCATTATAATGCCATATGGTAGGCCTTAATCACAGCTCTGACCTATGTTTCATTAGATTTGTTCTTTGTTTTCCTTCATCTGTGCCCCAGCTGTCTCTTGGCCCTTTTCAATACTCTTGGCTCCTCTGTGAACCATGGGGAGTGCCAGGGCCTATGCACCAGGAGAGGGCGCATAGGGGAAATCCTATCCAGAGCATCCGCCTCTTTCTCATTCCAAGCTGCAGGCAGAGCCTCCATAGGAATATGCAGCAGTGTCCCTGGGAACTTACTCAGCTTCTTTTGGAATCCGGGCAGGTCTATCAGTTGCCATTCGGAAAAAAAAAAGAAAAGAAAAGAAAAAGAAAATGGCTTTTGAAAATACTTTCAAAACAAATAGTGAGTTATAAAACAGGATTAAAGCAATTCAGTATGATCTACTTTGGTGGAGACTTTATGTTATGTTTTAGAATTATATTTTGGATCTGGTTATACTATGATATTACATGATATTTTTAAGTAAGCCAGTGACTAACTATATGCTTAAAAATAAGATAATATATTTTGCTTATATTTTTATATTTTTCTGAAGTAAGGATTAATTTACTTTTCTTTAAAAGTAAATCTGAAAATGCAGAAAATTTTAAACAAATATTAAAAAGTGTTTTGGAAGACTAACTTTATATTTTTATAGGTATTTTAAAAGATTTACTAAGCCTGGTTATTTAAAAAAAACCTTTTAAATGGTGAGTTTAAATAACTTCTCTTAAAAAAGCAATGACCCTAAAACTTCGTGATTTTTTTTTTATATGAGACTAATTCTACAAGAGATTCTTGTTCATGTTTACTGACACTTCAATGGATTGTTGAAAAGTTAGAAGTCACTTCCTCTGTGTTTTAAAGGTAACTTCTTGGAGATGACTTTGACATGCATTGTATAATTGGAACTTTCTCTATTCTTATCCTCTTTGGGTTTAAGGTTCTCATTATTGTTAATACATTTTTGGGAAGAGAAATAAAGTTTAGAGACACTTAATAAAAACTGTGGCCAAGTGAAAATCTTTGTGGCCGAAGTAGCAGAAAACACCTAAGATCTCCAGCAATGCCCGATTATATAGCTTGTAGAAACTAGGTCTCCTTCTCGCTTTTAGTTGACTTTCTAAATCTAGAAGACAAATAAGACTGGAGGAATATTTCCAACACTAAACATAGGATCCACCTACCTGCCTGGATGCTTCTGTGCATGCGCAGAAGCGCTGCACACAAGCACACACACACACACATACACACACACACACACACACACACACACACAAGCGAACTGGTAGCGATAGGATTTGGAACCTGCCCCTGCCACAGACACCTACCAAGGAGCAAAGCCTGCTTTTCTGCAAAGCCCACCCATCAAATTCTGTTTCCAAGGACAAGAGTGAAAATCCAGGAATTCCATCACTCTGTTCTAACTGTATCACAGCTTTCCCTAAACTCTCACCACTGGTGAATATAGCCAAGCAGAAATTAAGGAAGGACATTTCTCTGCCACCTTTGACTTGGTAAGCACTGACCCTGGGATCTTTTGAAATCACACCAAGTTAGCTGTTTAACCAAGTTCCTTGCTCTTCCTAGTTTTGCAACCCCCGAAATGTTTCAATACAAGGAAAGTGCAGCAATGCCTTATGAAAGAAACATAAACGTTTCTAATTGCATTTGCAGATACTCGCCCTCTTTAAGGTGACCCATCTCCTCCTGTGGAAGAAGGATGTATAGGTGCCCCTAAAGGGGCATGTTGAGGAATTTGTTCATTTTCTGGAAAACAAAATTACTTAGATTTGTTCCCTGTTAGATGTTTGCAGGTGTTTTTCTAAAAGGCAACTGGACTTTTTTGGTTTTTTCCTTGAAAACATTTCACTTCTCATCCAAAACCTTCTTCTGTTCTAATTGGATGGTGGGGAATGGAAGGATTTATATTCTTTGCAGAACATACCTTTATATTCTCTGCAAAAATTTATATTTTCTGCAAAGAATTTAAATCCTTCCATTCCTTATCCTGAACACAGATGACTACAATGCCAAGTTGAACTCTGAAAAGAGATCCTTACCAAGCTGTAAGAAAGTCATCAATTGCCTGTAACAACTACTGAAGGACAGTGCCATCGACAAGCCACAATATTACTACCTTTATCCTAGGGAAGCCACTCCATGAATATATGGACTCCCCAAAATCCAGAAAGAGGGAACTCAACTCAGATCAATTTTCGGCTCAGTCACTTACAACATTGCAAAACGTCTAACGACTTTATTAGCTCCTCTGGTTGCAATATCACCCATCACATCAACAAGTCATAGGACTTTGTCAGCAAGGTTTAGAAACTTAAACTAGATCCTGATGAAACAATTGTTTCTTATGATGTCATTTCACTCTTCACCTGTATTCCAGCAATGGAAGCTGTCACTATAGTAAAGAAATGACTGCTACAAGACAGCACTAACCTTAGCTCAGATTACATATGTGCCATGCTGGATCTTGGCCTGACCACTACCTATTTTAAATACACTGAAGGTTTCCAAGACAAAAACACAGTTATGCTATAGGCCCGTGATGGCGAACCTATGACATGTGTGCCACAGGTGGCATGCATAGCCATATCGGTTGGCACATGAGCTCAGCTCTGGCACACTTGCCAGCTGATTTTCGGGCCTTCTGGGCCCACTGGAAGTCAGCAAACAGGCCATTTCTGGCCTCCGGAGGGCCTCCAGGGAAGTGAGGAAGGCCATTTTTGTCCTCCCCAGGCTCCTAGAAAGGCTCTGGAGCCTGGGGCGGGCGAAAAATAGGCCTACCAGGCTCGCCGTGCCATCACATGCCAAAAGCGAGGGAAGCGCGGGGGGTGGGGGTCACGCAGACATGCGTGGGGATGGGACGCATAGAATTATGGGTGTGGGCACATGCACGCGCAAACCCCCCCTGCGCTTCCCCTTGCTTTTGGCACACAATGGCAAAAAGGTTAGCCATCACTGCTATAGGCTCACCTGTGTCCCCCATTGTAACCAATCTCTGCATGGATGAAGTAGAAACCAAAGCCCTAGCCTTCTTCATAGGAATTTCACTCACTAACTGGTATAAGTATGTGGATGATACTTGGCTCAAGATTAAAACACAGAAAGTGGAAGATTTCACCAAACACATCAACACAGGACAGGAATATTAAGTTCACATGGAAAGATGTTAAGTAAAATAGTCTGGTTTTCCTGGACTGTGCAGTACACATTAAAGAAGACAGAAGCCTCAACACTGATGTATACAGAAAACCCACACAGAGATTAGTATTTACATTTTGAATCTCACCACCTGCTGGGGCACAAACTGGGAATGATGAGAATCCTATACCACTGAGCTGAAGGTTTGCCTACCAGCAAAGAGGTGGATGGGCAGGGGAGCGGGGGATCAAGAAAGCTCTCAGAACTTGTGGATGAATCCTTCCATTCCCCACTATCCTGTCAGAGCTGAAGAAACTTCTTGGATGAGAAGCGAAATGTCTTCAAAAGGAAAAAGAAGAAAGTCAAGTTGCCTATTGAAAAAAGCACCTTTGGGACAACCCTGACCTGGACTAAGAATCTCTACAGACGTATTTTGCTTATATTTTTATATTTTTCTGGAGTAATTTACTTTTCTTTAATGTTAGCAGAATCTGAAAATGCAGAGAATTGAAGTAGCAGGAAACACTTATGATCTCCAGCAATGCCTACCATACAGCTTGCAGAAACCAGCTCTCCATCTCACTTTCAGTTGACCTTCTAAATCTAGAATACAAATAAGACTGCATCTCACTTTCAGTTGACCTTTTAAATCTAGAATACAAATAAAACTGCAAGAATATTTCCAACACTAAACATAGCCTTAGTCTTTAGGCAAACAGGAATCACTAAACTATGCAATGAAAGCAAAATAGGCCTGCACTTCATCTGAGTGCCACAGATACCTACCAAGGAGCAAAGCCTGCTTTTCTGCAAAGCCCACCCATCAAATTCTGTCTCCAAGGACAAGAGTGAAAATCCAGGAAATTCCATCATTTTGTTCTAACTGTATCACAGCTTTCCCTAATCTCTCACCACTGGTGAATATAGCCAAGCATTATCATTCTGGATTCACAGAGATTCAGTAGAAATTAAGGAAGGACATTTCTTGGCCATCTTTGACTTGGTAAGCTCTGATTCTGGGATCTTTTGAAATCACATAGCCATTCAACAAAGTCCCTTGCTCCTCCTAAAAGTTTTGCAACCCCCAGAAATGTTTTAGAAAAAATCCTTAAATTCAAAGTAAGCTTAACTAGTCTGACTGAAGGATTTCCCATCCAAAACAACCAGAGGAAGCAGACATTGTAGCTCAGGATTTTTATAGCATGTAAGGATTAATACGAATAGTGGAGAGGAAGATAACTCAACAAGGTCTAAATTGGAGAATTAAATCATTTCCTTCCAGCTGCATTAATAGGCATATTCATGCCAGCCAATTCTACTCTAGGTCAGGATTCAGACTTTGCTTGGTGTGTGATTCCTGCATTTCTGCTGCAGGAAGGCAGAAGAAATAGATCTATCTAATCCAATGGAACTGCCTGAAGGCATAAGAATTCTGCTATTCTCAGAAGCAGATGGTATCATGAAAGGAAAAATTTATATGAATATCAAGGTATCTTTATTCATAATTTACTTGCTTCCTTTTTTTTTCTTTTCACAGGAAATGCCACCTATGTGTGTTACCGTCGAGGCGGGGACTGTGTTCACTTTTACTGTCCTCCTGAATGAAACCTTGGGACATGGGGATGTAATGCGGGATTGACATGCTGTAGAAGGTGAGAAAACTCTCCTTTAATAAAGATGCCAAGATGTAGAATTGGATATTCTGCCTTCTTATGGATTTCATTTAAAAAGCATTGCAAGGCATTGGCCTGAAGAACTAGAGATGTTTCAAAGGCAGAAAAGAGGGCAGGAGAGATTGAATTTTGGGGATTCAGCTGGTAGAAAATACATTAAACTTTGTTTCATCTTTTATTTTATCTCATTTGTAGAATTTGAAAATAACGAAATCTCCATCTACTGCCTTGGATATCTTCAAGAGCTGACTAATGACTTGTCATCACCATTTCCCATCATGTTATCTTTCTTTATCTCAATCCAAATTGCTATCTATGCATTGAAGAAGAAAAAATAGCAAATTTCCCTGAAAATATAGCTAAATGAGCATTGTAGTTGTTGTGTGATGTGTGTGACTACATGAATATTCCTAATTTGTCTTTCATAGTACTGCTTTTGATAGCTTGGACTGTTTTAGGAATACAAGTCAAAATAGACAACAACATGGTTGTTAGGATATGATTTGAGCCTAACTAGTTGTCCAGGTATTATGAGTGTACTGTAACTTTAATATGAAAATGTATTATGTTACTTTAAAGGTATTCATTGTAATGCTGAGTCATGCTGTAATCAGGTAATGACTGGTTGTGAGAGTATTTAAGCAAGGTATTGTAACGTATTCAGTTTGATGATGAAGCTGCTATGATATGCTGCCATTGTGTATGGAGCTGATATGATAAGCTACCATTGAGAGGAGTTGTTATCTGCTAATCATCGTTTGATGGATCTGCTACCATCGTGGTTTGTGAACCAGAGTGAGTTTGTTATTCTAACCAACTAATGTTTGTTTGGTAAGAAGATTTCTGTAACTACTGGACTGATTTAACTGGCAAAGACTTGGAATTTGTTTAAAGACTATGAGACTGTTTTTCTACTATAAAGTAAGATTTTGATAAACCAGTTTGCATAACTCTTATTCATTGCTCTCAGCAACGTTTCCTTGTGCATTTACTCTGCTGGTTGGTAAAACAACACCAATATCCTTAACAATGGTAAGAAAATATCTATCCACTTTAGACAACTTCAGATCCTCAGAACCAGACACATTACATCCCAGAGTTCTGAAGGAGACGGCAGATGTGATCTCGGAACCACTGAACCACATCTTTCAAAGATACTGGAAACCCCTGATGATTGGAAAAGAGATCCCATCTTCAAACTCCAGGATCAAACTCCTGGCAGTGGGCAGAGTTAGCCTGCAACAGTGCTTTCTAACCACTACATCAACATGTACCATTATTCTGTATTCTGTATATCTTTTTGTTTGAATTTGATTGTGGGAGGCATTCCTTGGTCTTCAACCACACATCATGCCACTGAGACACACAATTTCCTTTTTCTCCCCATCAGTTTATTTACAAAAGTAATTACATTGCCATTGAGGTTTTTCAGTTCATGTAATTGCTTGAGCAGAAGTATTAAAAAAAAGAACCAAAAATATTAGCTAAAAACTCTCAATGCAACATAAAGCCTGCCCCAAGCTAAATACCATGGGATACCATGATAATTAAAATAATCATGTTTTCATAAATGTGTGTATCCTTAGTCTTTAGGCAAACAGGAATCGCTAAGCTATGCAATGAAAGCTCCTACCAAGGAGCAAAGCCTGCTTTTCTGCAAAGCCCACCCATCAAGTTCTGTCTCCAAAGACAAGAGTGAAAATCCAGGAATTACATCATTTTCTTCTAACTGTATCACCGTTTTCCCTAAACCCTAACCACTGGTGAATATAGCCAAGCATTATTTTTCTGGATTCACAGAGGTTCAGTAGAAATTAAGGAAGGACTTTTCTCTGCCACCTTTGACTTGGTAATCACTGATCCTGGGATCTTTTGAAACCACACCAGGTTAGCTGTTCAGCCAAGTTCCTTACTCTTCCGAGGAGTTTTGCAACCCCCCCCCCCAGAAGAAAACCCCCAATACAAGGAAGGTGCAGCAATGACTTATGAAAGAAACATAAACGTTACTCCTGAGTATAGTTGCAATATTTTATTGGGGCAATGTGATGCAATCATTACTACTATAAATAGAGAAGTGTGTCCTGTTACAAGAATAAGATTTGATCCAGAATCAAATTCAAAATGAAGATCTTTTATATGGTCCTCGCATTCCTTTTCCTTGCAATTCTGCCTGAACCAGGTAAGAAATTAAATTACAAGTAATTTAGAAAGAATTGATAACTCACTCCTTTCTAAACAAATAGATCATCTTTGAAAATGGGGTAACATACTATGTCTTTGTTAGATCAACCATTTAATCCAGGCTCAGAATTTATCACATGCAGAAGAAATAGATTTCTAGAATTCAACATCTCAACCTTTTAGCTTTGCTTTGATTAAATAATTTTGAGAAGTATGGTCTATTAACAATTTGAACTTCAAAATTTTTGAAAAATATGCCATTGACTTTTCTTCTGCCTTAAAACATAATAAACGGCAGGACAGGAGAGATAGGAAAGCCAATATAATGACTCATTTTTCTGTACTGAACTGTACTTGGTTTTTTGTTGTAGCTCTCTTTCTTTCTCTCTCTCTCCCTCTCCCTCTCTCTCTTTCCTTCCTTCCTTCCTTCCTTCCTTCCTTCCTTCCTTCCTTCCTTCCTTCCTTCCCTCCCTCCCTCCCTCCCTCCCTCCCCCCCTTCCTTCCTTCCTTCCTTCCTTCCTCCCTTTGCTTGGTTTTAGGTGTTAGGGTTTAGGATTGATTTTGGTTTACCAAATTATTATCTATTTAGTGAAGAAGAACGATCCTAATCGTCTATTAAACCTATTTGTACTTGATGGGGGAGCGGGGAGGAAGGAAATAAGATAAAAAAGAAATAAAAATAATTAAAAGTAGAAAAATTACCTTCAATAATAACATATCTATTATTATTTTCTTAATAGAGAAAGGAAAACTGCATATACCGCTTAAAGAAAATCTTTACTCTTTGTGATTATGTGAACAATCTAATGCAGTTCTCTTTCAGAGCAGGACAGAAGTGTTGCCTCCTCCTCATCTTCTCAAAAATGTTTTTGAGGGCTCAGATATCCTGAGAGTCCCTCAAAGAAGTCATAACTGGGTTTCATAAGCACAACTTTCCAAGAGAAAAGAGCAGCGATATGAGTTTTTCCCACATTAAGCAAAGAGGGTGAAAGCTGGAGAAAATGTCCTTAAATTCAAAGTAAGCTTAACTAGTCTGACTGAAGGATTTCCCATCCAAAACAACCAAAGGAAGCAGACATTGTAGCTCAGGATTTTTATAGCATGTAAGGATTAATACAAATAGTGGAAAGGAAGATAACTCAACAAGGTCTAAATTGGAGAATCAAATCGTTTCCTTCCAGCTGCATTAATAGGTATATTCATGCCAGCCAATTCTACTCTAGGTCAGGATTCAGATTTTGCTTGGTGTGTGATTCCTGTATTTCTGCTGCAGGAAGGCAGAAGAAATAGATCTATCTAATCCAATGGAACTGCCTGAAGGCATAAGAATTCTGCTATTCTCAGAAGCAGATGGTGTCATGAAAGGAAAAATTTATATGAATTTCAAAGTCTCTTTACTCATCATTCACCTGCTTCCTTTTTTTCTTTTCACAGGAAATGCCATCTATGTGTGTTACCGTCGAGGAGGGGTCTGTGTTCACGTTTACTGTCCTCCTGAACGAAACCTTGGGACATGGGGATGTAATGCAGGATTAACATGCTGTAGAAGGTGAGAAAACTCTCCTTTAATAAAGATGCCAAGATGTAGAATTGGATATTCTGCTTTCTTAGGGATTTCATTTAAAAAGCATTGCAAGGCATTGGCTGAAGAACAAGAGATATTTCAAAGGCAAAAAAGAGGGCAGAAGAGATTGAATTTTGGGGATTCAGCTGGTAGAAAATACATTAAATTTTGTTTAATCTATTATTTTATCTCATTTGTAGAATTTGAAAATAACAAATTCTCTGTCTGCTGCCTTGGATATCTTCAGGAGCTGACTAATGACTTGACATCACCATTTCCCTTCACTTAATCTTTCTTTAACTCAATCCAAATTGCTATCTATGCATTGAAGAAAATAAATTAGCAAATTTCCCTGAAAATATAGCTAAATGAGCATTGTGTGGTTTCTTTAAAAGTGGCTTGGGACAGTACATGTGTGTGACTGCATGAATGGGGGGGGGGGTAGATGAACATGAGCACAAAAGCACAAAAGGAAAAAAGTCAGTTCAATCTATCAAAAGCAGTACGTAAAAAAGAATATTCCTAATTTGTCTTGCAGGGTACTGCTTTTGATAGCTTGGACTATTTTAGGAATACAAGTCAAAATAGGCAAGAAAATGGTAAGAAAATACCTATCCACTTTAGACAACTTCAGATCCTCAGAACCAGACAGATTACATCCCAGAGTTCTGAAGGAGATGGCAGATGTGATCTCGGAGCCACTGAACCACATCTTTCAAAGCTACTGGAAACACCAGATGATTGGAAAAGAGCTGATGTGGCTCCCATCTTCAAAAAAAGGGGTGGGGGTGGGGTGGGACTACAGACTAATCAGTTTACTTTTTCTGAAAAGATCCTGGCAAAGATAATCAATGGATCTGCCAACCCCTAGAAACAAGCAAAGCTATCACTGGAGTCAGTGGTGGGTTGCTCCCGGTTCGCACCAGTTCTCGAGAACCGGTAGTAAAAATGTCCCATCATTCAGAGAACCGGTAGTAGTTGCTGGCTGGCCACGCCCCTGACTGGAGGCCAATATGGGTTCGTCAAAAACACATCATGCTAAACAATATTTATTGCACTCTTTGACAAAGTGACTAAATCATGGACCAGCAGACTTAAATACCATGCGATACCATGATAATTACAATAATCATGTTTTCGTCTACTGTATGTATGTCTCATCTATTTATCTGATTCTCTGATCATTACCCAGTCCATCCTCCTGTCTTTCCTGGTTCTTACAAACCTCTCCATGCTTTTCCTCCTTGTCTTCTTCCTGATATCAGTACCAAAATCCCTGGACTTCTCAGGGCAGGATGTTTCTCCATTCCACTCCACTGTGTGAATCAGGTGATATCCTCTCCAGCACCATGTTCTACACCATCTGCACTTATAAGCAACCTTTTCTCTGCTTTTCCTTCTATTCTATAATGAAGATATGGCTGTGCCACTTTTCAGGCGTCTTCTAGATGTTTCCCCTTTTCTGACCATCTGCTCCTGTCTTGAGCTCAGTCACCCACCTTCCCTAAAAATAATCCTTGATCTTAACACAAATTCACAAATTCAACACAACACCCATTGTCCACTTCCACCCAGACTCAATACTTGAACCCATGAAGGACTTTTTCAGGAAGTCTTTCTCTCTGCAACAATTCTTCAGAACTTGATTGTAAAGCCCAGTTTTATAAGCAGGGTACATGTTACATTAAAAAAAAAAAACTATAATTGTATTAGTATTTTGACTACATTTACTTTTTCCATTCTTTCTCTCATCCCTAACTTTCAAGGTCTTTTCTCAGAGCAATTGTATTTCAGGCAGGAGGAAAAAATTGGCTAATTTGATATATGCTGAAATATTTCTCTAGTATTTCTCATTCAGTTGAATAAGAGTCCATAGGCATTTTCCACAAAAGTGTGAAATTCTTACATGCACTGGTGTAAGTCTGTTGCTACCTCAGAAAAATACATACTTCCCTCAGTTGATAGCTTACAACAGGGGTGTCAAACTCAAGGCCCGGGGCCCAGATCCAGCCTGCAAGGTGCTTAGATCTAGCCCACAGGGAACAATGAAGAACTGGCCCGTGCTGCCTCTCCCAGTGGAAATGGATCTTGGGAGGGCTACCCGCAGCCCTCCTGAGCTCTGTTTTCACTGGCAGAGGGTTGCAGGAGGCCATCGCAGCCAAAAATGGAACTTGGGAGCCCATTTTCACTGACAGAGCACTTGGGCCACCATAGGCACCCCCAACACAAGTGATGTCAAGCTGGCCATACCCACTCTCGCCTTGCCCACCCTGGTCCCCCAAGGTCAAACACAAGCCTGATGCGGCCCTCAATGAAATAGAGTTGACACCCCTGATTTACAACTATAGATGTCACAAGAAAATTTTGAACAGCCATCTTTAATTTAGATCTATGGCAATATTGAATGCATATCTAAGTCAGGGTATAAAAGAGACCATATACAAAACTATTATTTTATCTCATTTCTATAGCTAAATTGGAAAAAAAAAAGTCATCTCCATCTACTACCATGGATATCTTCAACATCTGGCCAATGATCTGACATCACCGCCTGCTATCGCTGTATCTTCTTTTACATAACTCTATTGATTTATCTATCTTTTAAAGTTCAAAACATTTATGCATTGATGTAAAATTTGACAGATTTTCCTCAAAATAAAGCTAAATGAGCATTGCAGATATTGTGTAACTTCTTTAAGAAGGGTTTGGAGCATTATATTCAAGTGAATGCATGGATGTGTATGTGTGGATGTGCATATCTTTTTGCCTACATTTCAGTGTGGAAGACATACTCTGCTCTTCAATCACACTATTCCATAAAGTCACCCAGAAAGTCTTGTTTTTCCTCATCTGTTTATTTACTGGAGTTACATTGTCATTCAGTTATCTAGCTAACTAGCTACACATCTAGTTCCCTCCCCCCCCCCCCCCCCCCCCTCCCTTCCTCCTTTCTTTTTTTCTTTTTCTCCCTCCCCCCCTCCCCCCTCCCTCCCTCCCTCCCCCCCCTCTCTCTCCCAACAGAAGGTACCTCAGGGATTTTCCAGGACCAGTTAGATATTTTGGGGAGGCTAATATTTCATTACAAGAGTGATTGCCATACAATGTTACACTCCCTAAAATTCCTTGAGGCTCCTTTATTTTTATTCATTTTTACATCCAATTTTGTTTGATGACTAAGGATTTTAGTATAATTGTTGGGAAGTTCCTGCTGAAGTAGAAACACCTGTGATTATCTCTTTAGCACATATGGTTCACAACTTAGTTAACCACCAAAACAAGCAAAAATCAATGGCGGAGGCCACCAATAATTCAATACCAAAAAGGGATTTGACAATTGCTAGGGGTGAGGAGACTGCCACCACTGCCAACCACATTTCCCAGAGAAACCCAAAAAGGGTTTTCTTATCTTTTATATTATCTTTTCTTATGTGATGGAAGAAAGTGAAAATAAATTATTTGTCTATGCTCCGATAGTTTAACAATTTTGAGTCAGTACTCTTGTTGTCCCAGAAAACCCTGGTCCTTTTACCTGGCATGCTAGTCCAAATGAATCATACTATATAGGTGGAAAAAAGACAACTTTTATTTGCAAATAAAATGGTTACCCTAAAGCAAGTTCCACATAGGCACACCCCTGCTTGGATTGGACCTCCTTTCATACAATTTTGGAAAGCATACATTGCCATGAACCAATCATGGAAGCACCTAACATTAGGGACCAATCATTGGGGGTAAGATCATGCATACAACTTTAGCAGGCATAAAAATTCAGTTTAACTAAAGATAACTCACTTCATTTTGAGATTACAAGGTACCGTATTTTTCAGAGTATAAGATACACTTCTTTCCCCCCTAAAAGAGGCTGAAAATTTGGGTGTGTCTTATACTCCGAATGTAGCTTTTTCAAAGCTTTTTGTCAGCCCTAAAGAGGCACTAACGATCTTCCGGGCTTTGCCTGTTCCCTCTGACTCTCAGCTGTTCTTTGGAAACTTTTTTTTTTTCAGTGAAGCAATCTTCTGAGCTTTGCCTGCTCCCTCCAACTTAGCTGTACTTCAGAAGTTGGGGTTACTTTTTTCTTTTTTATTTATTTATTTTTATTTTCATGAAGCGTGTATTTTATGACAGATACAAGTGTAAACATAATTATAAATACATGAAAAGGATACAAATAAAACATTAGGACAGGGACGGTAGGCACGCTGGTGCGCTTATGCACACCCCTTACAGATCTCTTAGGAATGGGGTGAGGTCTACAGTAGACAGTCTAAGGTTAAAGTTTTGGGGATTTGGGGAAGAAGCCACAGAAACAGGTAGTGCATTCCAGGTGTTGACAACTCTGTTACTGAAGTTGTATTTTCTGCAGTCTAGTTTGGATCAGTTTACCATGAGTTTGTATCTGTTGTGTGCTCTTTTATTGTTTTGGTTGAAGCTGAAGTATTCATTGGCTAGTAGGACATTGTAGCAGATAATTTTATGTACTATGCTTAGGTCAGACTGAAGACGGCAAAGTTCTAAGTTGTCTAAGCCCAAAATTTCAAAACTGGTGGTTTTGAAACCCGGATCTCTGCACTTTCCATAAGGCCCTGAAGACGTTTTTATTTCAGCAAGCCGGCCTAGCCTAATTAGGTTTTTTATGGGTTAGTTTTTAATTGTATAGCTTTGGGGTTTTAAATTGGGAGCCGATTGATTTAGTTTATTTTAGCTATCTTAACTTTTATATTGTATGTATTTTAATTTTGGCTGTTCACCGCCCTGAGTCCCTAGGGGGAGAAGGGCAGTATATAAATTCAAATATAAATAAAAATAAATAAATAAATAAATAAGATATTTTGTTGCGAGCAGAGGAGTGGAGGACTCTTCTTATGAAATATCTCTGGAATCATTCAATTGTATTAATGTCCGATATGCAATGCGGGTACCAGACAGATGAGGTGTATTCAAAAATTGGTCTGGCAAAAGTTTTATACGCCCTAGTTTGCAGTTCAATATTACCAGAGAAGAAGCTACGCAAGATTAGGTTAACAACTCTTAATGCTTTTTTAGCAATGCTGTTACAGTGAGCTCTGGCACTTAGATCATTTGAGATGAGTAGTCCAAGGTCTTTGACAGAGTGAGGGTCGTCTGTTAGGTCGTATCCGTCCAGCTTGTATTTTGTGTTCTGATTTTTTTTCCAATGTGTAAGACAGGGCATTTGTTGGTTAAGATTTGGAGTTGCCAATTGTTTAACCATTCTGACACTTAGTCAAGGTCTTTTTGTAGAGTAGCAGCATTGTCAGTGCTGTTGAATAGTTTTACATCATCCGCAAAGAGAATGCAGTTGCTTATAATATGATCGCAAAGGTCATTTTTATAAAGTATCAA